TATATATATATATATATATATATATATATATATATATATATGATTGTCTTCTCGTCGGCCGAAAAGCCAATGGACGAGCACATAACCCCGTCGCTGGACACCGACCATCACACGTCTACGCATATATATATATATATATCGCATATATATATATCGCATATAGGGTTCAGCCTCCTGATGAGTCGGTGAAACTCCGACGAAACAGTTTGTCACAACCCCTCGTTTGTTGTCCTCTTCTCTCTCTCTACCTACGGTTTACCGGCCAGTTCTGTTTGTGATGATATTTATATATCACCATGATGACGGGTCTGTTTCCCGCCCGCCCCCCACTGCATCCCCTCCGTCCGGGCCCCGACGTGCGAGAACCCCCACCAGCAACTCGAGGACACTATTACCATCTCGCATCGCTTCAGCCACGTCTCCTATCCGATAGGCAATTGCAGAGCCGACGTCTGCGGTGGCTTTCGCCAGGCTACTGACCGCTTTGTCGAGGCCATCGCAGTAAGACCGAGTGGAATCCTCCATGGCCCTGCTCAACAGCGTGGCAACGGTACTCGCCTCCTCCCTCCTCGCCTTCACCTTGTCCGTTCGCCGGATGTTTGCAGCACTATCCGATTCGTTAGCACACCTCTCCTCCGATCCACCACTCATCGATGCGCTTCCACTCCCCCCCATTAGGTTCTCCGAAGCCATTGTTTTGTCGCACTTCATCGACGGTGGATCTAGCTGCCACTGCATAGCGTCCCACAATGCCTTCTCAAAGGACAGTGGAAGATTCTTCTCCTTTCGCTCCTCCAATGACAGATCCCAATACGACGGCTGGCCAGATGCTTCACATTTCTCGACGATGAGCTTCGTCGTCTGCAGCATGTTCGACCATTTCTTCCTGCAGTCCTCTGCGCTCCTGTGTTTGAACCCGGCCTCCTTCATCCTCTCGTTCACTCAAATATTCCGCTCCTTCGTCTGCTTGAAACGGTGTTGCCCGTGAGCATCTGCCATCAGGGCATCATCCTCACCCATCAACATCGCTAGCTTTATCTGCTCATCCAACGTCCACGGTACATTCTGTTTCTTCGGAGCAGGCGGACGAGAGTTCGTAGACCGTCTGTTACCCGCCTCGCCCGCTCCACCACTGTTCAGCACATCGCTTTGATCGCCCACGGGATCGACACTTCCTTGCTCCACAACGTCGTCATCGTCGCCTGCTTCAGAACCGCCGACACCTTCATCGTAAGGCGGGTCCATGCGCGTGTCGGGGGACACCGGCCTTGGGTCCAGCCGGGTCCAGGTACTCTCTCCATCATCACCGAGTGCTGGAGACGGGGAAACCCTCACCCCGACCAATCGGCCCGGGCTCTGCCCACATTGTGGAGACCATGGCCTGCCACCCATGCCCATGGACTGTGTGGACCGTGGCGCCATGCCGAAACCTGCACGGCTGGTCGGACCTTGTGCACATGGCCTTCCTCCATACACGTCGGAAGGCTGATGTCCGTGCACAACATGGTCACCAACACCGTATGAGTCCAGCTGGTGCAACTCCCCTGCCGGCGGACCTCCATGCACACTACCGACGTGCATGTGCTCACTGAACTGCCCGCCGTATGCTCCATGGAACGTGGATGACTGAATGGGCGCCGTTGCACGGAAACACGCACATCCAGTTAGAAAAGCCGACTTTGGAAAAGGAATGCCGCATCCTGGCGGGGACTTTTCCAGCCGCCGACCGAGTAGAATCACGCCCGCCGTGCTTTCCAGGACGACAGTGGGGTCTACAAAACACGTTCGCATCTTTCCAAGCCACCTCCCGGCGGCCTGGTGGGGTCCGAAATTGGCTTTCCATGCCAAAAGTTTTCCGACCGCCGGCCAGTGGGGTCCAGGCCTTAGTTTATTTTGGGTGGGTTGGTGAGGAGGCATGATCTACAATATACCCCCAGGGGTAGGTTAGATATGTAGTTCGCAGCCCGTCAGGGTTGCGTTTTTCCCCCCTAAGAACATTTTTCGTCGTCGGTCGCTGGAAGGCTGGAAAAACAAGGCATGGCAGTTTAGGGGGTGGTGGCATCTTATTTGAAACTGTAGGACCTGCCCATGGGACCGCACGGGTTTTGGTCAAAAAATCAAAACGGGGCCAAAGCAGTGGCGGGCACACCCGTTGCCTCACTTTCGCACCCATTCCCTCTCGGTAAGTCAAATGTCTCTCTTCTTCTTCCCTCCCGACTGTCCCATCTGCGCGCGGGTGTGCGAGTGCGTGCGCGCGGCTACACGCACTCGATCCCGACCATTCCGTCTGCGCGCGGGTGTGCCCGCACATGGCTAAGCGCGCCTCAATCCCGACTGTTCCGTCTGCGTGCGGGTGTGCGCGTGAGTGCGCACGGCTCTCCTGTTGGCCGGTGCATTGCTCATCCTATCGATGGAACTCTCTCTCTCTCTCACACACACACACACATACACACACACACACATACACACACACACACATACACACACACACACACACACACACACACACACACACACACACACACAAACCTCACCAATAACGCCTCCTTTATCAATCACGCATATACAAACTACGGGCTGCGCACCCGTGCCCTCACGGTAAGTCAATAAAATGCCTCTAAATTGTCTACCGTGTGGGTGTTGGGAACGCAGCCCTAAGGTAGCCAAAGCAATGGGTCTTTGTGCGGGAATGTGTGTGTGTGTGTGTGTGTGTGTGTGTGTGTGAGAGAGAGAGAGAGAGGCAGAGAAGCTGAATGACAAAATTGGAATATGGGTCAGATTGCGGCCGCGATCCGGGGGGCCAGGGCTACAAAAAAAAAAAAGAAAAAAAAGAGTCTAACAGACTTCCCGTCGTTGCCGCCGTTGGCGCACAAAAGTGGAAAATGTGTCGGATCGGTGCAACAATTATTTCGCAGCCTAAATGTTTTTTTTAAAATGTTCTGATATTTTTTCCTGGAAAGAACACGACCTCATCTATGGATTCTCAAAATTTCAGATGTTTCTGCGGATTCCTCCGAGCACAAAAAATCATCAAAGTTGTCTTTTGCGCCTGTTTCGTTGCACCCGACCTCCCTGTTTTGAAAAAAAAGGCCTCAACGCCTAGGCCTGAGGGCCCTTTTGCAGTTCACATGCCCTCACTTTGTTTTGGGGTCCGCTTCCACCCCAGAACCTGTCCTTCCTTTTTTCGAAAGTCTCGGTTCTACAAGAGTTAGTTGTTCGCAGCTCGTCAGGGGTGCGTTTTATGCCCCTGAGACATTTTTTCGTCGTCGTCCTTTTCCTTCGTTATACCGGTCGTTCATTCGGGCCCATTGGTCGTTGAAAGGCTGGTAAAATGAAAGGCACACGCATTTAGGGGGGGGCGACAGTTCAAGCAAGTGCAGGACCGGTAGCTGCCCGTGGCATTAAGGCCTTGATTTTCGAATCTGAAACGTCGTGGACGCAGACCCTTTGGTCGAAAAATCGAAATGGTGTCGGGCGCACCAGTTCCCTCACAGTCGCACCCGTTCCCTCTAGACTGGAAGGCGCAGGCGGGTCCAATCTTGCAATTTTCGAGCGCCAACTTTGGCGATTTTTCGTACGTAGAATAATTGGAGAAACGATCTGCAAATTTGATATCGGGTAGGCCAGGTCGTGATCTTTCCAGTTAAAATATCAACAAAATAAAATAAAATCGTTTAGACCATGAAATAAATGTCGCGCAATTCGTCACTTTTTCCATTTTTGGCACACGACAACTTGTGGGCCAACGGGAAAAGTACCCCTATTTCAAAGATTTTCACACTCGGAAGAACTCGTAAACAAGTCTGAAAATTTGAGGGTCCGTAGATTTGGTCAATGATCTTTTCAGGAAAAATGTTTAAACAAATGAAAAAATTGTCTCAACCTCTCTCTCTCTCTCTCTCTCTCTCTCTCTCTCTCTCTCTCTCTCTCTCTCTCTCTCTCTCTCTCTCTCTCTCTCTCTCTCTCTCTCTCTCTCTCACACACACACACACACACACACACACACACACACACACACACACACATACAAACACACATACACACACACGTCCACAACAACATCAACAAACAAACTACGGGCTGCGCACCTGTGCCCTCACGATAAGTCAATAGGTAGTCCGTAATATCTTGAAGGACCGGTCCCCAAAATTTTGCCCCCCCCCAAAGAACCCGCTTGCATTGTGGTCGCCCATCGTAAAAAATATGACACCTTGACATAGACATCGAGGCCCCCTATACCGCAGCCTTAGGGCTACGAACTCTCATAAAAATTTACACTTTGAAATACCCCTGTGGCCAGATGGAATCCCTATCTTTGCGATATACACCTATCGGGCATTGTCAAACTTTGCAAAATGCCCCAATATTTGACAATTTTTGCAACGCCCGATTCCAGAACACCAAGGCCGTAACAGCAAGGTCCAAAAATTGCAAATTTGTGGTCCCGCTTGACAAGAGCATAACACTGCCACTTCGATCCAAAAAGGCATACAGCTCTACCCACATCTTTCAGGAACATTCTGGCATATATCAAACCTTTATGGACATATTTTGCAAATTATCCCTTATTTTCTTAAAAACGTAGCAGTTTTCATCAAGGATCCGGACGTCTATATCAAGACAGTGTTTTTTTTTTTGGGCAGGCGACCTGAGGGCAAAGAGGTATGTGAGGTGAAAATTTGTCAGTGGACCGATCCACTGCGTTTTTTTGCACGATTTGCAACTATGGTGCGAAGAACCAGCGTGGTTGTTAAACCGGAGGACCAATCCTTTAGTGTGGGCCATAAAAGTTGTCCAAAAGGGTAAAAGTAATTGCAGTGATGCCTTTCTGTGCAGCAAGCATGGGCGGGAAATGATGTCACGAGACTGGTTGCAGACACCTCTATCTGGGTCGAGAAGGGGGTAATAAACAAAAACGGTAGATGCCTGTTATCGGAAAAGTTTGACGAGGCGTTCGACCCTGGTCGAAACAACAACTCCCCATGGTCGAAAAACTTAGAAAGTTGAAATAATGTTGGGCCAGGGTTGAAAGGGCACTTGCAACAAATGTCTTTAAATCTGGATGCACTTAGCGTCTGATTCAGACACCTTGCTCGACGCAAGAGCTTGATTTAGTGTTGGAAATGCACCTTTCTCTTCCTCCCTCCCTCTCTCTCTCTCTCTCTCTCTC